AAGCCTGACCCAGAGGGTAAGGAGGTTCAGAGTGACTGACGGAGACGTGGCTACAACCAGCCAACCCCTCTCACACTGAGATGCATTCAAAGGGTGTGGTGTCTGAGTCTAGGAAGGACTTTGGAACCTATGGATTTGACAAAAATTCAGGTCTTTTCTTGCCAGATCGTTATACATTCATCTTGGGAGAAGTATAGAAGTTGGGAGAATCCAGGGGGTCAAAATAGTGGATATTGGATTTGGTTCAGAGGTCACACTCACACAGATGAGTATGAGGCACTTATTTCATATCTCTTGGTAGTTTTGCACAATGTCACTTCGATTTGCTAGCCCATCTAAAAGTCATAGTCAGAGGCCATTAAGCCAGTTGACTACAACCCAGATCCAGGAGAGGAAGAGAGTAACATATAGCTTTCAAAGACTATCCCATTCTCAGCTGAACTCCAACAGAAGTACTCAGAGAGAAAGTTTTAAACTTGAGAAAGGTAGATTATCATTGTAATGATAATGGTGGTAGTAGTAGCTACAGGAGCAGCAGGATTTAAAGCTGGACCATTTATGAGGAAAAGCCCAAGAGATAAAAGTGTGAGTCAGGAGTAATGATCCCTACAGTTGGGATCCTGAAGTCCTTCCTCACAGGCTACAAAATTACCCAACTCTAAGTCTCTGGCTTTCCCAGGGTCAGCCTGGAAAACACTTGCTTATGTAATACCCAGTGAGCCAACTACAATACTTAGTGTGAGGAACAGACCCAAACTGAGTTTGCAGTGTATACTTATAAAAAACAAGTACCCCTCCCCACACCCCACTCCTTCACATCATTGTTTATCCAACTCAGAAGCATGCCTCTTCTCACCAAGATGTAAAACAAACAAACAAACAAACAAACAAACCCCTCTGGGTCTTTTTTAAAAACCCACCATGTATCATTCTCTTGATAAAGGCAAAGTGGTAGAAAATGAGTTAACAACCCTCTGAACAACATTTTTTGCACAGGCCTGGTGTTTTTCTTAATTGACCAGCCCATCATTTCTGTTTCTCTTTCATGTACAGGTAGTCAATAAGGTTTATCCCCTAAAAAGTTCCTTATTTTGAATGGTGAGGCTAGGTAATGCAATTCTCCTCCTTGAAGATCTATTCTCTGCCTCCCTCAACCCTCACAGCCCCTTCCAGAGACCTCCCTGTGGGAAATTAATAAGCTTAGGAAGGAGCTGCCACTGTCTGCTCCATTGGCATCCTCTTATCTTCCAGTGTGTGGGGTTTTTTTCCCCCCTTTCACCATGAATTGCCATACTCTTTTGACAATCAAGCCTTTGCTGGTGTAGTGCTTTGGCAATAGAGTTAGAGGTGAGTAAGCCAGAACCTAGAAAGATATAGAAAAAGAAAATCAGTGTGTTTTCATTCTCATAGGATAATAATCTTTGTGTGAATTATTCTTGGAGATGTTACCTGCATCTTATCAAAGAAGTTGAAATATTTTGGGCTCCATTTTTCAACCCTGGGAAGAAAAAGGGTATTCCCATTCTAATACTCACTAAGAATTAAAATTCCCTTTCTTACCCTTCCTCCACCCTCTCACTTTGGTCATAAAAGGCACCTCGGGTATCATTTATCAACCTCTCTCCAGCCCACTCTTCCAAAATAACACTACAGTTTCCTACATGTGTATTTTTGCCAGGACTCCAAAGAGCCTTGCTAAAGTGGAACAAGGTGAGCATGCCCACTCTTCATTGTCATTCTTCTAATTACTTAACTGGAAATAAAATCCTAGGGAAGAGAGCTCCAAATATATGCATAAACCCATTGTTCCATGTGAATTACATAAAACTGTTGACTAGGTACATTTTGATAGTACTGTCTGAGGCTGAATAAATGCCTCAACCCTTCATTTAGTATCAGTGAATTCCAGTAAGTATTAATGCAGAGTGATTTCAAAGTAGTTTATGTACCATTTTAGCCCATAAATTTCTACAGGAATAAAAATAATTTGTAGATTTTCTTTATCCCCTATTAATGATTGTCATTTAGGACATTTATATTACCAAGCAAAATGTGTACCACTTAAATTACTAGAAAACTCTCCAAGTAAGAACTTTGATTTAATCTTACTTATATTGTTTTGTTATGTCAGTTATTTAACTCATAATCAGAAGGGTAGGTCAGATTCATAAAATGTGAGAAATTCTGATATTTAAGGATCTTTATCTGAAAGCAGTAGGAAAAACATTAATTAGAGGTTAAAAAAGTAAAACTGAAATGAAGCATCTGTTGGCCAGTTTCTCAATAAATCACTCCCTTCTCAGATGTATAAAATCATCGCTGTTTTCTAGCTTGAGACTTAAAAAGGCCAAGCTGTTCCACCCTGAACTTAAGTATCAAAAACATTATTTTATACAAACTGGAGTCAAGGTTTTAGTACCTCAAAAGAAACATAGTTTAAATGGTCTCTATATCTAATAAGAGAAAGGCCAGGCACAAGAAAAATGCCTTCCATTTAGAGTTTATTTTCTAAATGTCCACATTCTGGAGTAGAGGCTTATATATTTACAATATGTAAGGTAATTTTTTAATGCTTTGCATGGACAGATGACTTTTCCTGAAAGATAAACTTCCAATGCTCTAAATAACAGCAAAAGAAAGCACTAAGGAGTGTTCTGTTCAACAGATTAATGAAATTATGTTCTTAAACACCATTCCTCACACACCATATTGCATTTATCAGTCTGTAGTTTCTAAGGGACCGCATGACTCTCTTATGGCTTTTCTTTCTTAACTGGAAGTTGTTTGCAACCATGCCTCTTCTGCCCTTTACTTTTCTTATTTCTTCTACTCGGAATTAACTTACGTTTCTGGCCACTATTCTTCAAACCTGAGGTTTATTTTCCAGATGTTTGAGACATTATTTTCACATTTCTAATTCTTCCACCCATTCTTTAAAGAAGTATTAGGGGACAATGTGTCCATGCTTGTGTGTGTGTGTGTGTGTGTGTGTGTGTGTGTATGTGTGTGGAGAGAGAGAGAGAGAAAGAAGTGAATCTAGTATTCAGTGGAGCAATCAGTTATAAGACAATTGGTAGCTCAGTACAGCTGCAGATTCTTATATACAGACATGTGAGAGAGCCTCATTGCACTAAGCCTTCATCATTAGGAGTCACCCTTAGCTGAAGTACATAAAATTGCACATAGCCAAAGTATGTAAAACTGCACTTCAAGAAGCTTTCTTTGAAAAGTCAGTAGCTAACCTGAAAACTAAGGAATTCCCCACTTTCTCTCAAAATATGGGGATTTGACAGCCCTTCCTTCTGTGAATTTCAGCTTAGTTCTAGGCAGCAGTTCAGAACTTGCATGGGGTACTGACCAGAAGAGAGAAGGAAACACACACACACACACACACACACACACACACAGAGAGAGAGAGAGAGAGAAAGAGAGAGAGAGAGAGAGAGAGAGACGGAGAACAAGGAAGAAAATGAACTTCATGGGAAAGTCCTTGCACTTGTTTCTCCTCAGGAAAATCCTCCCCTGGCCTCCTGGGACTGCAGTCACCGGGCTGTCCAAGCCTCCATACTCCACTGAGTTCCAGAGAAGGGTCTCAAAGCTGGGAGAGGATCAAACTAACATGGTAAGCTGCTTTTTGCCAACTCCCCAAATACATTATTTCAACAACAACAACAAGGAAAAACAACACCAAGGAGGCTGTCTCCTTAAGTTGTGGTTGTACCGCCTCCACTTTAGCCAGCTGCACAATCCGATTTATCCTAATGCTGACAGATTGCCCACTTCAAAGTAGTTGTGGTGTGGGTGGGGCTGAAGAAGTTGAGAAACTATCTATACCACTCAAAGGCCTTTCTTCCCTTAGGAGGAGAGAATTGAACTGTGAAAAAGAAGCCCAAGATCCCCCAGCGAAATGGTGTTGCATCCCCGTTGAAGGAGTCAACTTGCAGGCTGTTAAAGACCTCAAGTCATTAGCATCAGCTGCTGCACTAAAGGGGCAAGTCAGCGCCTCTAAGTGGCTTAGCGCACAAACGAGGCTCCCGAGACGGCCTTGGCAACTCCATCCCCTCCTCCACCACCCGCTGGATGCGAAAAGCTTTCCGGAGCCCATCTTGATAATCATTTTTATTTTGAATCACCCTTGCCTCGCAACCCCAAGACCTCAGAGTGCCAACAGCACCCATTATAGGACTCCCTCTGGGGCTGTGCAGATTCTGCACGAAGCAGAGGGCAAAAACAAAAAAACAAACAAAAAAACCCAGGAACTGTTTGAGTCCACTAACCTGCGCTCTTCCCACCAACCTCCGGCACCCCACCTCCGCCCACGTACCCGTGTCCTGGGACTAGGAGGTACCGTTATGTCCCCTTCCGAGGTCTGGTGACATTCTCACTCCAACCTCATCTCCCGAGCCATGGGAAGGCTGAGCCAAGTTCTCACCAAAGCGCATCCTTTCTGAATTTTGCAGGGGGAAGCTTGGTAGTGTTGGTGCTCCTGAAGAGAGACGACGCCCGTTTATCAACCTCAGGCAACTAGCGGCGCAAATCAGCGGTGGCTCCAGGGCTAGAGAATCCCTGGGGCTAACCGCACCCCTCTCCCTTTCACGGAACGTGGACTCCGGGGAAATACGCTCGGGGTCCGCACGCGCTGGGTGTCCAGCTCTCTGTCATAGCTTCTCCAAGTGCCTAGTGAAACGGGGAAAGGCCCTCTCCAATCCTTTTGGTACCTTCCTTTCCAATCCTGAAACGATTTTCCCCTCCTAGCCGTCCCAGAGGGCCCGAGCTTTAGGAAGAGGCGGGCCGGGACGCTCTCTGAGAGGCGTTGCCACCCGGGGTAGGCGCTCATGATCTGCGGGGCGCGGGCAGGCCGGGGGAAAAAGCTGCGAGGCAGGCGGCGCCGGAGGGAGCTCCTGGCCCAGCAAAGAGTTAAAGGGAGGGGACGTGGGCTGTCACGCGTCATTGGGCAGATTATGTGCAGCAAACAAAAAGTGTGTGTCTGCGTGCCAGTCAGTCACTGCATCGGGTCCATCTGTACAACTCTCTCCGTTTCTCCGTCTCCCTCTCTCTCTCTCTCTCTCCCTCCCTCCCTCCACCCCCCAATCTTTTTCTCCCCATCTCTCCATCTCTCTCTTATCTCTTTAGGAAAAGCCTAAAAGACGGCAACACCAACACCTCTTGACATGGAAATACACTGATACAATAGGCAAAAAGAAACACTCGATTGCATCTTCCGGGTTCCAGGTGGCCTTATTTGGTAGAGTCTATACTGACCTTATTCCTGGTAAGTCTATTTGCATTGATGTGGGAGGGGGATGGGAGGAAGGCAGTTTGGTGGAAAGAGTAGAAAATTTTGTCTTCCGTCTCCTTATTATCCAGAAGAGAGAGAAAAATAATTCTTGAGGGGCTCTCTACTGCCAGGAATATTGTACAAAAGGAGGAGCGGGTGGGGAGCACTTTGCCGGAGAAGCCAGGGACTGGGGAGCGCGCGGCCGCCAGACAATGCCTGACTAGAGGGACGGGCTAGCGGCGGGCAGCAGCGACCGGCTTTCAGAAGCCCCGCCGGCTCTGGGGTATATTCCCAGGGCAGGCGGATAAGAACCTGGGCCCAGAACGGGGCACGGAGCTGTGAAACGTTGGGTGGCAAAGGCGACCGCACGCGGGCGGGCGCTCCTAGGCTCTTGCCCAGCGGTTATTGTGACGGGCTTGAGGCTCGTGGCGGCTGGCGCGGCGACTCCGACCGCTATTAGCGCGGCGGAGTGAGGACCTTTTCACCGTATTGTTAGGTAGAACCGCATTTTAATGACTGTGTCCCTGCTGTTGCCCGAAGTGACGGGGGCGACCTCCCAGCACAATGAAATGCTTGTGTGAAAGAGATTTTTAAAAGGAAGAGAGAAATTGGGGCATAAAACGCTGAATTGAAGGAAATTGAAAAGAGGAGAATAGGATTCCGTTGAAAATGAGATGAGAGGTTATGGGTTTTTTAAAATGTATTTTAATTTGAAATGAAAAATCAGGATGTCTACCTTGTATGGGGTAAAAATGTCCAGGGATAGATGATGTAGAATAATAAAGTTTCTTCTTTATGGATATTTTCCCTTATTTCTGCTGTCTGGTAGATACAGCCCAACACTTGACATTTGGGGGATGCAAGAGGATGAATGGAAAATGAGACGAACCAAAGTTTTAGGCTATGTTAGCTGGAATGGGGGGAAAAAAGCACACCTTGTAGTCACACGTGTAAGGTTAATTGGTTAATATAAATTAAAATAAAAACAGACGTCACTGATATTATTCCATAATGAACAGCTTTGCAGGAAAAGAATTAGATCTACTCTTTCCTGTTACTTTAATTATACAAAACATACATAAATAATTGCCAACGGTGACATTATCAGGGAACAACAAACTTGGAGGAATCTTTTGATTAGTTTGAAATACTAAGCAATGCAGCTAGTTCAAAGCTAGTTAAAAAATTTAAACACCTGTTTCTTTTTTTCTTTCTTTTTTTTTTTTTTAATGATAAGTCTTGTATGGGGTGTCCAGAGGAAGGAAAATGTCCCTTTATGACAGCTTAATAGAGAACCCTCCATTGGGGCATTACTTTCTAAATTGCTGTGGATTAAACAGCTGGAGAGCCCACTGAGGAGTGCTCAAGGAGGGCTGCCCCCTCTTGCCCAAAAAGGGTCATATGGGGTAGGGGGAGTGAAAATTTACCAGTCATTACACACAGTATTTCAGACTGGGGACACTTTAGGCCTGTCCTGTACCTGCTCACTTCATGAGCTACATGTGACTCAATCCACCCCCTTGTATAACAAGGTAACCGGGATTCACTCTCATCCATAAATAAGCATGTCCAGAAAAAAAATTACCTCTGCTTGCTGCTTTTAATTAAAGCCTCAGAGGAACAGTGTTGGATTATGGTAATGAGCAGACATACGTCCCTTCTTGTAGGCTGCAGAGAAAGGTTAGCTGACACAGAATTAGTGGCCCTGACACTCCACTTGAAATCCATTCGCCATGCTCCGCTGTCTCCGCCTGCTCACTAACGCTGCTCCCCTCTTTGGAAGAAAAGGAAAAAATCAGCTCCCGGGCACCCAGTTCAATACATAGGCAGAGGCACTTTTCCCCAAGGGTTAGAAGTTTCTTTCAGTAAGGGAAGTCTATAGGCTGGTTAAAATATATGTGCGTGTGTGTGTGTGTGTGTGTAATATATATAAATATATATAATATATAAATATAATATATATATAATATATATTCTGCCTTGAACTTCACCTCCAAAACCTACCCAATCTAACATCAAGGTAATGCAAAAATGATCTAGTCTTTCCAGCCCTTTCTTTTCTTTCTTTCAAGCAGTCAGCTCCAGATTTCCCACTATTCTAATTATTTTAACAAGTATCTCTTAGTTTTCATCTTTAAAATATGCCATGTTTATCTCCTATAATTTTGAAATAAGAGCTATGCAAAAATCAGGCAGGTGCAAGGAAAATCTGCCTAGTATTTGAACAGTTCTGCCTAGGTTAATGGCAGTAGAAGCAGTATTGTAACTCACTTTCCTGTGCTGTGTGTCTATCTCCAGTGATGGAGGATACAGGCATCCAGCGAGGCATCTGGGATGGAGATGCCAAGGCTGTCCAACAATGTCTGACAGATATTTTTACCAGCGTTTACACCACCTGCGACATCCCTGAGAATGCTATATTTGGTCCCTGTGTCCTGAGCCATACTTCCCTATATGACAGCATAGCTTTCATAGCTCTCAAGTCTACTGACAAGAGAACAGTACCTTATATCTTTCGGGTAAGTCTCCGCTGGAGCTGTGTAGGTGTATGAGGGTAATGTCCTGTTAGAAATGGACTAAAAATAATTCTAATGACAAGTGGAGATAGGTTTTGCCTGTGGAAAATGCAATAAAGCAAGCAATCCATTTCACACATCAAAAATTAGAAAAGGAAAATTAAACTCAAATTATTGTCAACTGATTTTTTGGAATAAATGACAAAATTTGATTTGGAATGTTAGAAATATCTAAATCAGTGCTTCAGTTCTGGTTTATCCTGGTGATGAACATGACTTCCTAAACTCTGGGAGATTTCACTGGGGCGGAGGCTATTTGCATACTAACTAGTTTCTGCAAGTTCTTTGACAAGTATTGGGTACATTTGCCTTCCATTTGAGGAGGCTACTTCATCCCCTAAATATTAGTTTCTTTGGTAATATTAGCTAGTGCCCAGAGTTTGTATTTAAGTAAAAATGTTAATAGTTTTGATAGTAAAGCATCATTAAATCCATATGTCTGAATTGGAAGATAAAAGGCCTCTCATTTCCTATTCTTCTTTACAAAGAAAAGCTATTAATTGTTCGAGCCAGGATTTGAAACATGATTGCCATAGCGTAATTTCTAAGATTTAAGCTTGCTTTATTTCTGAAACAAACAAAATTCTCCATACCTTTGTAATGTGGGATAACTTAGAAGTAAACTCTCAATACGTTAACACTAAATTCTAAGAAGAAATTTCCTCATTTAGCATTCAACCAATATACAAAAACGGTGACTTAAATGATCTGTATGATTGATGCAGTGTTTCAAAAGATGGTTATCTTGCCTACTGGTTACAAACATGAGGACAGGTCCCAGCTTGGGCCAAATTTTTGGAAGCGTGGTCTCAGATAATTTTTGGAAAAGAATAACATAGAAGAAATGGTCTTGATTCTTCCGATTTCATTCTCTCATGAGGGTCCCTCTCCCCTCTCCTTCTTGTCTTTTTTCATCTATTTCAAACCGCAGGTAGACACCTCAGCAGCAAATGGTTCCTCAGAAGGTCTCATGTGGCTGCGGTTGGTCCAGTCGGCCAGAGATAAGGAAGAGCAGAACCTTGAAGCCTATATAAAAAACGGACAGCTGTTTTACCGCTCTCTTCGCAGGATTGCCAAAGACGAGGAGTTACTAGTTTGGTACGGGAAAGAACTGACTGAGTTACTCTTGCTCTGCCCCTCTAGATCCCACAACAAAATGAATGGTAGGTTGGCTCGCGACCGGCGTGTGGGCCCTTAACTAGCGGGGGAGAGACGCAGGGAGCGGCAGGGGCTCACCCGGCGCGTTGGCGCGTCTTTCTTCCCTTTGGGTGTCTCATAGGAAGATTCTGAGATATAGTTCGGAATGAAGCTAAACAGATAGGTGAAGATAAAGCAAGGAAACTTGACTTGTTTGCTGTATTCCCCCCAAATCAGGAGGGAAAGTTAGATTAGGTTGGTCATTCTTTTCTCAGGCACTCAGGCCCTGAGAAATGAAGGTGGATTTGTCAAGGGGATGGTGGCAAACTGGCTTGGGGGCGATGCTGAGTAATCATGTGGTGTGCGTGTGTGTGTGTGTGTGTGCGCGCGTGCGTGTGTGTGTGGTGTTTGCTCACTAAGCAGGGTCGTCCCCTTACACATGCCTGGAATGCAGCCAACGTTTCCAGTTTGAGTTCCCCTATGTGGCGCATCTGCGTTTCCGCTGCCCCAAGAGACTTCACAGCGCTGATATAAGCCCCCAAGACGAGCAAGGCGGCGGCGTAGGCACCAAGGACCACGGGGGCGGCGGCGGCGGCGGTGGCAAAGACCAGCAGCAGCAGGAGGCACCTTTAGGCCCGGGTCCCAAGTTTTGCAAAGCCGGTCCCCTCCACCACTACCCAGCCCCCTCCCCCGAAAGCAGCAACCCACCCGCTGCCGCCGGCGGCAGCAGCGCGAAACCATCCACAGACTTCCACAACCTGGC